AGGGGTCATTGAAAGTTCGTCCCTTCCTGTGGGCACCAGCGCACAAGCAGCAGAATTATGGGCTCTTATCCGTGCATTGGAATTAGCCTCAGGCAAAACTCTTAACGTCTACACTGACAGTAAATATGCCTTTTTGACTATTCAAGCACATGCTGCTATTTATAAAGAAAGGGGCTTCACTGATTCTTCAGGCAAATTATTACAACATGCCTCTTTAATCAAAAGGTTGATCAAAGCTGCAAAGTTTCCCAAGTCTTTAGCTGTTATCCATTGCCCGGGTCATCAGAAAACAGACACCCTCATTGCCCAAGGCAATAGATTTGCTGATAAGGAAGCTAAACTCGCAGCACATCAGCCTATAGATAAAACAAATTCTCATCTCTATTTGGCACATGAAATTGCATCATACATTGAGAAATCCCATCCAACCTATACTCCTGTGGAAAGGGAAAAAGCTATTGGGGATCTCAAAGCCACTCTTGTGAGAGGATGGTACACACTTCCAGACAATCGCCCAGTGATACCAGTTTCCCTTGCGTGGCCCCTAGTAATGGAAGCACATCAAACATCACACATCGGCAAAACAGCTTTGGCTCAGCAATTACAGGCTGCTTTTTACATTCCTAATTTGCAGAGCCTGGTGGCCAAGGTCACTTCTCAGTGTTCCACTTGTGCTCAAGTAAATGCCAGGCAAGGACCACGTTTACCTGAAGGACAACAGCCCATCTCTTACTTGCCAATGGACTATTTAGTAGTGGATTTCACTGATATGCCCAGATGCAATGGTTATAAAGCTTTGCTCACTTTTATTGACACGTATTCTGGTTGGCTGGAAGCCTTCCCTACTCGAAATAAGTTAGCTATACAAGTTGCACGCTTTCTTTTAAAGGAAATAATTCCAAGATTTGGCTGCCCATCCCACATCAGTTCTGATAATGGCCCTGAAATTGTACAACGTATAAATCGCCACTTAGCTGAAGCAGCAGGTGTAAAGTGGAGATATCATTGTTCTTTTCGTCCTCAATCAGCTGCGAAAATTGAGAGAGCTCATCGCTCATTGAAAGCAATCATTACCAAGTTGTGCCTAGAAACACATTTGCCATGGCTTCAAGTCTTTCCTATGGCCTTGTACATTTTTAGAACTACCCCACGAACCAAATACCAGTTGTCTCCTTTTGAACTTTTATATGGAAGACCCCCGGCTTTGTTCAAACACCATTTTCAAGGTTGGCCTGACTTAGCTCAGAAAGGGGGAGTGGAAGCCAAGAAATTACTTTTGCAGTTACAACAACATAACAATCATGTTAACCAATTAAGGCATTATATGCAGGAGTGCAGACCACCCCCTATTACAACAGCAGGTCATAATTACAAGCCAGGTGATAGAGTGTGGGTAAAACATTGGAAAGATGAACCTTTAAAGCCTAGATGGAAAGGACCGTATACTGTTGTGATGTGTTCACCTCTTGCAGTTAAAACGCTAGAAGGCAAATCCTGGATCCATTGGACGAGGCTGAAACCGGCGAACCAGGCTGATCCAGTGACGTACGAGGTGATACAGACGGAGAAACCCCTAGTGCTGAGATTTAAGAGGAAGAACACGCCCTGCTGAACCCTACCGCAACAGGCTCTTTACACACACGATGGTGACCGCCAGCCCTGTTGAATCACTCCGGAAGCTGATTCTCTACGCACGGCGGAAGATTCATCAGGAGGACAACGACCTTCACAGTGCACATATACATTCTCTTAGCTTTCATATAACTCTTTCATACATATGCTAATGTCACTAGAAGTTTGGGAATACATTTTGTGGGTATTTGTTTTTCTAATCTTACTAGTAATTTTGTTTTACATATATAAGGAACGTTTTTGTGGTAAACCTAGGATTTTTCTTGCTACTGCTATATCCCAAACCACACGCACCACTAACTCTCTCCCTGACCCTGACGTTGTGAGCTACACACCACAGTGATTATGTTTTGCTTATGGCTTTGTACATTATTTGCTCTTGCATTCTCAAGTAACCATGTAGGGAACATTGATTCCCTAGATGACTACACTTTAGGTCAAGTTCATTCACGCCAAAAACGCATTGTATATGCACGAGGTCGTTACCTTAGACCTAAGACAACTCCACCACCTAAGGTTCCTATCTTGACATACCCAGCTGAGGGGGGAGTAGATAAGGAAAATGGGCCTTTGCAACAATTACATAGAGGAGATTATATATCACGAATTCTGGAATTAAGTCAAGATCTTGTTAATCAGTATAACCCTACCCTAGGTCAGAAATGCTGGTTATGTCTATCCGCTGACCCTACATCTTATCATGCTATTCCTGTAAAATCACACCTTTGGGTCAAAACAAAGGCTACAATTCTCCTTGAAAGGGATAGTAAAGATAAAGTACCTGTCTCACCAATACAAGGAGATTTTTATGAAGCATTCAAACGATTGGGAAAAAGTCGTCTTCCTATCACAGGCCCAATTGCTACAGGTGTAGACCTCATAGGAACACCTTCTTTGTGTGTAAAGAGACATCAGAAACGTGGAAGGCCTGTAGGATCCCTGACAGACGAACAATGTCAGTCAATAATATATTTTGGCCCTAAAATAAACTTGGTGGACATAAAATTAACAAAGGGAATTTTTCCCTCTGCTTACCGCAAATTTCAACAAAGGGTTACTTTCACAGCTCCACCTGAACTGAACTTTAGGAAAGAAAAGTGGGGTGGAGGGAATCTGTCTTTTGAAAGCTGTCCAAGACCATTTCGACCTCCAAGATTTCCCCTTTGGTTCAACTTACAATCCAAATCAGGTTTATGTATCCTTTTTCCACCTGGAAATACTACCTCTCGATATGTTTTTGAAGGTCCAATTCTCAGAGATAAGCAGAAGGACCCTTCACTAGAAATCCCATTACAACCTTTAGCAGGGATGTTTGTAGCAGGTACTCTAGGTGTTTGGACTAATGAAAACAACCGAAGAATCCATGCCTTTTCCATGAACATCGGAATATGCGTGGAAGAAAAAGGAGTGTTTTTTCTGTGTGGAACTAATGCATATTTGTGCATACCAACAAACTGGACTGGAACTTGTACATTGGCCCACCTTTTTCCTAAAATAGGTGTGGTCAGTGCAGAGCATGCTATTCCTGTTCCCCTTTTGGGACATGTCCAGAAGAGGGTCCCTATACTTATCCCACTGTTAGTGCTTATAGGCATGGGTACAGCTGTTGGGACAGGTATAGCAGGAATTACACACTCATCAGTAATTCAATTCAGACAAATCTCAGAAGAGTTACAAGGAAGTTTGAATCGGATCGCTGGTACTTTGATAGAGGTCCAAAATCAAATAGACTCCTTGGCAGCAGTGGTGTTACAAAACCGACGTGCCTTAGACCTCCTGACAGCAGAAAAAGGAGGAACATGTATATTTTTAGGTGAAGATTGTTGTTTCTATATGAACAAATCAGGTGTGGTCAGAGAAGGTGCTCGGGAGTTACAGGATAGGGCTTCCAAGATAAGTCAGAGGTTACAAGCTTCTGACATGTTTTTTTCTTGGGTGCCTGGGTCCGGCTGGATTAAGCAAATGATATTTTTGTTCATATGTGCCATTGCTGGTTTAGCATTCATTCCATGTGTCATACCACTCCTCAGACAATTGTCCATAAAAGCAGTAAAGGAACTTAAAGTTGAAAGGGAACTAGCTCTGACAGAACAATTTCTTAATCAACTTGGTTCCTACCCTATGGAAGGACCTACAGATCCTGCTGTAGATCCATATGTGGAAATGGGACCAATGGAAAGATGGAGAGAATCTTCCTAAGACTTAGAAGAATGGAAACAATCATATATAATCTTTTATATGCCTTTAATTCTTATATTTTGTTAGCATTTTTATATCATAGAATTGTTTATTGGAACTTGTTATACTCAGTAGTTATACTTATAAGTAAGTTGTGAGAGTTTATGCTTAAGACAAACTCTCAGAGGGGGGAGTATGGTGGAACAGGTAACAAATAAAATAAAATAAAATAAATAAAAACACGAATCCAGTTAGATAGTCACTGAAGGGCCCCTCTTTGTTCTTAATATTGTAAGAGAGAAATTGCTTGCAATTATATTCAGAACACAGGATGCTCACTTCAAGGCCTCTCAGTTGTCACAGATAAGAACAGTCTACGTGATTTACACCTTGAGGTTAAAGTGACAGGGATGTCCACTTTGTTATTTCAACAAAAGATAACAGATATGCTTCAGTAATCTACAAAAAGAATTATGACTGTTTTGCAAAGAAATTCTGTAATGTCAATTAAAATTGATAAATGTATAGGACCATATGAACTGCTAACTTCAAAGGATCCTTTGTTTGAAACTGTATAAAAATGGAGTCTCAGGATCATAACGGGGTTCAGATCTTGAGGTATCAATACCTATCTGATCCTTTTATTGCAATAAAATAATTAAACTGATTCTGTCTGCCCTAATTGGGATGTTTTCTTAATTCCTCATCTCCACAAAACATCTCTACAACAATGAAACTGGGGGCAATTGTCACTGGGTGAATTTTGTCCATTGAGTATCTATGCCACAGCCTTTCTAAAAGCATTCTCCCTGATATCTGGGGATACAATATCCTAATTCATAATTGGTACCTAGACATTTGTGGAATATCTGGTTGGGCAAGGCTTTATTACTGTCTGCTGTTTGAGAAGGAGAGTAACACTCAGGGTAAAATCAAAAGGTTTCACCATTCAAGCCACCTCTTCCTTTCCCTGTATAACTAACATGGGGTATATCTGGGCTTGATTTGAGGTAGGGCCAAACTCCAGCATGTGGCAAAATACGTCTTTGTATCCAATGTAGAGAGATTTCACTGTTTCCAAATTCCGGGAGTTAAGCGACGAGTCGAACAGTGATCAGATGCCCGTCGCTCTCGGGGAGTGCTGCAAGCTGCTCAGTCCTGTCTCCTAGCGGCCATGCATTGCAAGCGCCCGTCGCTCCTCTCTTCGCCCAAGAAATTGAAGCGCCGTTGCAGAAGACGGAGATGGGCGTCAGGAGGCCTCCGCTGTGGGTCTCTCTGCCACGACATCCGCTTTCCCTTTCAGCCCCCTGAGCCGCCGGTTGGCCTGTTGGAAGGCAGGCCACAAAAAAGGAGCGATGAAATTCCCGGGCTCCGTCCTCCTCTCGCTATTCCTCTTCGTGGCAGAAACGGCGATCGCCTTGTACCTGAGCAGCACCTACCGCTCGGCGGGAGACCGCATTTGGCAGTCGCTGACGCTCCTCTTCGCTCTCTTGCCTTGCATCCTGGTCCAGTTCAGCCTCGTCTTCATCCACCGCGACCTCAGCCGGGACAGGCCGCTGGTATTGTTGCTTCACATTCTGCAGCTGGGACCCATTGTCAGGTGGGTGGGACGGTGGCTGCACGGAGGAGGAATGCCAAGGTTGGGCTCTCCTCCTGAGGGCTCTTCAAGATGAATGCGGTGCCCTTGTTCCCGAATGGCAGCAACCCATGACAATAAGCCGTCACACACTGCACAGAAGGATACAACCGTTTATGGGGTCCTGGCTGTATGACTCGGGATGAATCCATTGCTATAGGGAAGTGGGTGGTCCAACGCCTACAGTAAATAAAGAGCTTGGTCTTTGATACACCTGTAAAGCCTATTCTACTTTTAGCTGTCTGAGAATCTTTTTAAAAATCGTTAAAAATCAGATTCATATGGTGCTAATAAATCTTTCCTTTGAATGAACTAAAGGTCGATATTAGTGTTTCTCAGTATTGGCAGCTTCAAGTCTCTCTGGCAATGGGATGCACGAAGAGAAAAGATGATTTAACTTTTAGCTAATCATTGTTTCTTGTATGCGATAAATGCTTGGTCCTGAATGGCACCAGCCATGACAACACTTCATTGAATAGCATGATTCAATGCCATTCAATGAGCTCTGGGCCTTTAACTCACAATGCAAAATATTAAAATTCAAAATTATAATCTGTGTATCAGGATATTTTGATTTTTAAAAGAATCAAGAATTTTAAGCCTCTCTGGCACCAATATGGTCTGTAGTATATAAATATAGTCTGCATATATAAAATATAAATATAGAATATAGAATAGAATAGAGCTGGAAGAGATTTTGGAGGTCTTCTAGTCCAGCCCCCTGCTCAAGCAGGAGAACCTATACCAGTGATGGCAAACCTTTTCAGCACCGAGTGCCCAAACCAGAACGCACACGTGCACATGCATGCACATGTGTTGGAGTGCTGAAAACCCGAAGACCACGTGGTCTTCGGGTTTCCGGCATGCACATGCGCACTGGCTAGCTGGTCTTTGCACACGTCGGAGCACCGGAAACCCGAAGACCAGCTGGCCAGCACGCATGCATGCATCGGCACACGGGAAACCCAAAGACCATGTGCACTGGAAACCGGAAGACCAGGTGGCCAGCATGTGCATGCGCACTGGCCAGCTGGTCTTCAAGTTTCCCATGCTCTGGCACATGGGAAGACCAGCTGGCCAGCACGCATGTGTGTGCCGGAGACCAGAAGAGCAGCTGGCAACGGCATGCGGGCCTACAGAGGGGGGTCTGTGGGCCATCTCTGGCATACGTGCCATAGGTTCGCCATCATGGACCTATACAATCTCAGGCAAGTGACTATCCAGTCTCTTCTTAAAAACCTCCAGTGATGGAGCACCCACTATTTCTGAAGGCAAGCTGTTTCACTGGTTAATTGTCCTTACTGTTAGGAAGTTTCTCCTTAATTCCAAATTGTTTCTCTCTTTGGTCAGTTTCCAATCATTATTTCTTGTCATGACCTCTGGTGCTTTGGAGAATAATTTGACCCCGTTTTCTTTGTGGCAGCTCCTCAAATACTGAAATACTGCTATCATCTTACCCCTAATTCTTCTTTTCTTTAGACTAGCTAGACCCAAAATCTACAGCCGTTCTTCATATGGTTTAGTCTCTAGGCCTTTGATCATCTTAGTTGCTCTTTTCTGAACTTTTTCCAAAGTCTCAACATGTTTTTTGTAGTATGGTGACCAAAATTGGTTGCAGTATTCCAGGTGTGGTCTTACTAGGGTTTTGTAAAGTGGTACTAATACTTCACCTGATCTTGATTCTATGCCTCTGTTTATACAACCCAGGATTGTATTATCTTTTTTGTCTGCTGCTGCACATTGCTGGCTCATATTCAAATGATCATCCACTAGGACTCCAAGATCCCTCTCACAGTTACTGTTTTTGAGCCAGGTCTCACCTAATCTGTATTATACCTTTATTTATTTTATTTTATTTTTCCTGCCTAAATGTAAAGCTTTGCTTTTTTCCACATTAAAATTCATTTTGTTGGATAGGGCCCATTGTTCAAGATCTTTTTGGATCCTGAGTTTATCTTCTGGGGTGTTGGCTATTCCTGCCAGTTTAGTATCATCTGCAAATTTGATGAGTTCCCTTTCTATTCCCCATCTAAATCATTTATAAAGATAATTGAAGAGTACGGACCTAAGACAGAGCCTTGTGGTATCCCACTGCTTACTTCTTTCCATGTGGATGTAGTACCATTAAGGACTACTTGTTGAGTACGATTTGCCAACCAGTTACAAATCCATCTGGTGGTGGTGTTGTATATTCTACATTTTTCTAGCTTACCAAGAAGTAGATTGTGGTCTACTTTGTCAAATGCCTTACTGAAATCTAAGTATACTATGTTCACAGCATTTTGTTGGTCTACTAATTTAGTGACTTTATCAAAGAATGAAATAGGATTGGTTTAGCATCATCTGTTTTTAAATAATAATAATAATAATAATAATAATAATAATAATAATAATAATAATAATAATAATAATAATAATAATAATTTTATTTCTATACCGCCCTTCTCCCGAAGGACTCAGGGCGGTGTACAGCCTATTAAAAACACAAAAATATACAGACGTCAATTAAAAAAAAAGTTATAACTTTATTTGCTTATAGTTGTTCACAGATCTGTTTTTTTATTATCTTTTCCAGGATCTTCTCAGGTATTGATGTTAGACTAATTGGTCTGTAGCTTCCTGGATCTGGGTTGTTTGTTTTTTTTTCCTTTCTTGAAGATAGGAACCACATCAGCCCTTTTCCAATCCTCAGGTACTTCCCCTGTGCTCCAGGATTTTTGAAAGATTTGGTACAGTATTCTGAGATAACATTTGCCAGCTCCTTCAGAATCTGGGATGTATAAGCTGCAGGTCCTGGTGATTTATATTCATCAAGGTCAGATAGGTGTTCTCTTACTATTTTCTTGCTTATTTTCATTTTTATTTCTAGTTTGTCTTTTACAGCAGCTTTTTTGGTACATCAGGCTACAATTTCTTTTTGTGTGAAGACTGATGCAAAGAATGAGTTAAGCAGCTCTCTTTCTCCCTACTGCCTGTTACTTCCTTGCCATCTTCTCTCCTTAGTGGACCTACTGTTTCCTTGATTTTTTTCTTGTTATTAATATGTTGGAATAAACTTTTTAAAAATTATCTTTGACTTTTGTAGCAAGCCTTAGTTCATTCTGAGCCTTTGCTGACTTTGTCTTTGCATGTTCTGGCTATCTGCTGGTAATCAGCCTTAGTTATGTGTCCCTCTTTCTGTTTTCTATGCTTGTCTTTCAGTTTGTCAGAGAGATCAAATTGCAGCCATGATGGTTTCTTCTTGAATTTCTTGTTTTTCTTTTTGAGTGGTATTATGCTGGATTAGGTTTTTATGATTGCATTTCTCAGAGTTTCTCATTCTTCTTGAATTGTTTTCCCCTTTAGGATTTTCATCCATGGAATCTTTCATAGGATCTCTCTGAATTTGTTAAAATCGGCTCTTTTAAAGTTTAAGGTGCTGGTTGGATTATTTTCTATTGCTTGTGTTTGCATTATATTGGTTCAAAATGTAGCAGTTGCATGGTTTTGTGCAAGTCTAGATTAGCACACATCACCTCTCTTGTGGAAACTACATGATTGATGAATTGCTTCTGGATCCAATTCAAGGTGCTGGTTATCACATTTAAAGTCCTACATAGCTTGGGGCCAGGTTATTTGAAAGACCATGTTTCCCAATTATATCTATCCAGCCCACCAAATCAGGGAGGCAGGGTATGATATGGGTCCCTTAAATCAAGAAGGTCCACCTAGTGGGAACAACTAGGGGCCTTTTCTGTGGTGGCTCCCTATGTGCGGAACATCATCCCTACGGTGATAACACTAGCACCCATCTTCATATTCTTTCAAATGGCCCTGAAATCATAGTTTTGTCAGTGGGTCTGATGATTCAGGTTAATACGGAACCCATTGGATGGTGGGCTGTTTGTTGGCACCAGGGGCGAGGATGTCTATTGGATTTTGTTTGGGGGGGGGGTTATTCCTTTAACCTGCCTGGCATCACTGTCAGTGAGTTGGATGGCAATATAAAATTATTTAATAAATAAATCATACATAGTACATTGAGATATATGTAATATGGGTTTAAGGTTTTTTGCTGTCCTTGGGTCAACATCGTTACAAGTTTCCTACAGTCCCTACAAGTTTCTTGGTAACATTTTTTAGAAGGTGTTTCCTAGGGTCTCTTTCTAGGACCTTGAGAGACTGATTGACCAAACATTACCCAGCTGGCTTGTTCCAAAGGCAGGACTAGAACTCACAGTCTCCTGGTTTCTAGCCTGGTGCCTTAACCAGTATGCCAAAATGCTTCTCAAGATATGTGTTGGGCTATGTAAATTCATTAATGCTAAATGTGGATCATATTAGCATGTAACCAAATAGTAACATATCAAGAGAAGGAAGCTTTTCTCAAAATAATCTGTTTCCATGGGGATGTTTAGAATATTCTGGATATTCATATAAAATATTTAGTGCTATTACTTTGCTCTGTTATATAATCCATAATTTTAATAATTTTAAATGTGAGTTATCTGATTGATGTGTATACAGATTATCTCAGAGAGTGGCAGTGGGGTATAAATGTGCATGCAATCCATTAGACTTTTTAAATATGTGATAGAAATAGATAGCTGTGATGGTTTCTCTGGTTTGTTTCTTCCAGGTGCATGGAAGTTTTTTATATTTACTTTCATGCAGGTAGAGTGGAAGAGCCTTATGTCAGTATTACTAAGAAAAGACAGATGCCAAAAGATGGACATTCAGAAGAACTTGAGAAAGAAGTAGGCCAGGCAGAGGGGAAGCTGTTTACACACAGATCTGCATTTAGCCGAGCATCAGTGATTCAAGCTTTCCTAGGATCTGCACCTCAGCTAACACTTCAGCTTTACATCTGTGTCCTGCAACAAGAGATCACAGCAACTAGAAGTATGTACAACTGTGTTTTCTTTTTCTATTTATGTTTCAGTAAATGCTTTGAGAAGGGAATTATTTCTCTCTTTTTAGAAAGGTTCAGAAAAATGGTTAAAAGAGGTTATTGTGGTGGTATCACTAACTTGACATATGTTGTCAGAAACATTTTCAGGCAGTTGGTGTCATCATAATATTTACCAATGTTGTAGGTGCCAATGCTTTTAAAATAAATATTACATATTAAAATAAAGTAAAAATGGCTGCAATCTCAGATATTAGATTAGGCTACAATTTTAAATTATTTTCAAATAATTTTTTTTAAACCTGAGATTACCAATGGAGAGCATTGTACCAATCAAAGGTACCTCCAACAAAGATATTTGCAAGTAGTATGATCCATAGGGGCTACATTGTCTGTATTTGCATCAAGTGACAATTTGCTTGAACATGGTTTACTGAAAAAAAACACATTTGGTTAGATTTATTTCACACAATAAACAATAAACCGTTCTTTATAACCATAATGTCTGTATTCCCAGAACTCACTAAATGGAAGCCAAATAAATCACATTATTATCCTGTGGTAAGATGCGTGATCTTATAATACTGTATAGTGATATAGTTGAACAATATCTATATAAATATAATAGAATATATAGAAGAGAGTGGACAGCCATTTGTCTAAAATGGTATGGTAAAATTGGTCCCCTGCTCAAGGAGAGGGTTAGACTAGAAGACCCCCAAGTTCTCTTCCAACTTTGTTATTCTATGTTCTGTTTTATAACAGCTCCAAAAAAGGGCTGTGTGTAAAGGACCCTTGAATAATCCTCCTACCAGCCAGTTGTTATATGGCTATTTTCAAACACTATGCAATGCTCTTGGAAAGGAGTACTAAATCCATCTTCAAAAAGAGCCTAAATAACAGTTGATGGGCAGTGGGAATAGGCAGCCACTTTACCCTGCAGACATACTCAATCCCACTGCTGGTAGGTGTTAATCATGTTTCTATTAAGGAGCCCAAATAACAGGTGACTGATGGGGGAAAGACTTCACAATTAAGTGACAGAACAGCTTTACACACTTTGAGATCTGAAGCTCAAATCCATGGGCCTTTTGTAAAGAGGTTTGGAGGATTGCTGAGATGTGAGTATGATGTTTTTCTCAAGCCCTAAAGAGCTAAAATGTGAAGTGCTTGATTGATTTTTTCAACTTCCCTTTGTGTACAGAATAACTGGGTTTACATATTATGGTATGTCATAAAGCAGTGTGTTTTGTTTTGGCTTAGCACAATAGTACAGATTGTTCTTACTTAACAACCATAGTTAGGATCAGCAACTCAGTTGTTAAGCAAAGTGGTTGCTAAATGGAACTGCTTATGATCTTACCCAGCTTTTATTTATTTTAAAGACCTGGGAACTGTAACAGTGAGGATTGGTCATAAAGTTCCTTTTTTCATCACTGTTGTAACTCAGGGAACCTTGCACAGCTGATCGTTGTGGCTTATAAGCAGTAGTCTACTATATTCTTTCTGTTCAGTTAATAAATATGTTGATAATTAAGAAAGTTGTGCTTTTGTATAATGCATTAGCCAGTCATTCAGAAAAATAGTGTATGGTTGCTAGTATTATTTCACATAAGTTTTTGTGCTTATTTTTATAGCTTTTCTGGAAAAATATTTCCCAGCACTAGGAATAAGTATAAGAGAACTGGGAAAGTACTTTGCATAAGAAAAATAATATTTTAGTGCTCTGTATGGTTTTTAATTTCCAAATATAGTCTCATTCCTGCAGTTCGGACAGTGCTGTTTTTTTTTTAAAAAAAACAAAAAATTATTGTTTGTCGTATTTATTTTTCCAAGGTATCTTCATGGTCCTTTCCCTCCTGTCAATTGTGTATGGAGCACTGCGATGCAATATTCTAGCCATTAAGATCAAGTATGACGATTATGACATCAGTGTGAAACCTGCTGCCTACCTTTGCATTTTCCTCTGGAGGAGCTTTGAGATAGCAACAAGGGTGATAGTCCTTGTCCTCTTCAGTTCAGTTCTTCAGATCTGGATCCTGCCTGTGGTGCTGGTGAATTTTTTTGCTTTTTTTTTTAATCCTTGGATTCAGTTCTGGCAAAGCAAGTGTACTCTGCCAGAAAACATAGAGAAGGCCTTGAGCAAAGTAGGCACCACCATTGTCTTATGTCTCCTCACTTTCCTGTATGCCGGCATCAATATGTTTTGCTGGTCAGCGGTGCAGCTGAAGCTTAATGATTCTGATTTAATTGACAAATCGCCAAACTGGAGTAGACTGGCTTTGTACTATTTGCTGAGGTTTTTTGAGAATGCTTTTCTCTTAATAATGTGGTACACATACAAGACAGATGTCTACACATATGTATGTGCTCCAGTGCTGTTCTTACAACTACTGATTGGCTATTGCATAGCTGTCCTTTTTATGCTTGTGTTCTACCAGTTCTGTCATCCATGCAAGAAGCTTTTTTCTTCCAATATTTATGAAGGATTGGTAATATGCTTCAAGTCTTTTTGTTATGTCTGCAAACCTCTGACATCTGGCAACTTTGTAGAAAAGGAGAACTTAAAATCCCCAGAGAATACTGAAAATGATGCCCTGGCTAGTTACAAGGCAAATGAATCCAAAAATGGAAGCACTCAGCAGAGTGTGTCTTCTAATGCATAGAGTGTGTATCCGAGTTTCACAAGATCCTGTAAAGAATAGCACTTCAGACCTTCATTTGCTCATAAAACAGGTATAATAAATGGGATGTGTCAACATTATATCTTAGGCAATGTTTGTAGGTTTATCGTATGCAATGGGTTTGTACAAAGGTATTTTCTTTCAAAAGTCTTGTGCCTATTAAGATAGAAAGCATGTTTTCCTAGCAAGTTGTTGCAACTTTGGTTTGGTTATGCAGAAAGTGTGGATAATGATATGCCAATCAGTCTTAGTTACAGATTGTGACTATTGGGATTATGTAGTTCACTGAGCAATGTCCAGATGCCAAAGGATCAAAACTTTGCCCCAGTGGGCTTCTCCTAGCTCATGTAATATGATAATGCATTGACGAAGTAATTTACACCAGAAACATTCTAGGATTAAAAAGTGTGATAGAAAAGGAAGGAGCAGAACATCATGGACCTATTTGTTATATCAGGGACATTCCAAACAAATCTTATTTCATTTTGAAAAGTGGCTAAATTAGTAGACCAGAGAAATGCTGTGGACATATTATACTTGGATTTCAGTAAGGCATTTGACAAAGTAGACCACAATCTACTTTTTGGTCAGTTAAAAAATGTGAGATAAACAGCATCACCAACAGATGGATTTATAACTGGCTGACAAATGGGACTACATCTATATGGAACTATATCTATATGGAGGGAAATATGCAGTTCAGTGACCTGGGGTTCTGTCTTAGGCCCAGTAACGTTTAACATTTTCATAAATGATTTAGATGAGGGAATAGAAGGGGAACTGATCAAATTTGCCAAACTGGTAGGAGTAGCCAATGCACCAGAAGATAGGCTTAAGATCCAGAAGGATCTCAATAGACTTGAACACTGGGCCCTATCTAACAAAATGAAATTCAGTAGTGAAAAAAGTAACAATTTACATTTAAGCAAGAAAAACCAAATGCACAGGTATATATAATAGGTGGTACCTGGCTCAATAGAACTACTGTGAAAGGGATCTGGGAGTCCCAATGGACAACCACTTAAATATGAGCCAGCAGTGTGCTGCAGCTGCCAAAAAAGCCAATGCAGTCCTAGGCTGCATTAACAGAGGGGTAAAATTAACATCACATGAAGTGTTAGTACTGCTTTATAATGCCTTGATAAGACCACACTTGAAATACTGCATACAGTAATTGTTGCCAAAATATAAAAGAGGTGTTGGGAGTTGAGACTCTAGAAAGAGTGTAGAGAAGAACAACAAAGATGATTTGGGTTGGAGACTAAAACATATGAAGAACAATTGCAGGAATTGGGTATGTCTAATCTCATGAAAAGAAGACCCGGGATGACATGATAGCAGTGTTCTGATATTTGAGTGATTGCCACAAAAAAGACGAGAGTCAATCTGTTCTCTAAAACACCTAAAGACAAGGCAAGAGGCAATGGATGGAAACTAATCAAGGAGAAAACCAACTAAACAATTAACCAGTGGACTGTCTTGCCTCCAGAAGTTGTGAGTGCTCAATCATTGGAGGTTTTTAAAAAGAGATGGGACAACCATTTGTCTGAAATGGTATAGAGTCTCCAGCTTGAGCAAGGGACTGGACTAGAAGACCTCTAAGGTTCTTTCCACCTCTGTTATTCTGTTTTTCACCTACTATCAAGTTTATCTATGTAGCAAATGGCATCATTTTATCTGACTCTCAAAACTGTAACGGGTTTTTTTCTGAATCTAGAACTAAATATGGGGAAATTGCTGATATACTAAATTCATGAATTTGGAAATGCCCTGTTAAATTTTCTTTCAAAGCTGTTACAAAGCTGTTTATGTTGTAAAAAAAGTCCAGAAAACAACATAAAGACTTTATTTATAGTCCTCTCTTTATTGAGGTTCTTAATTGTGTTGATTGTGTTTCTGTTTTGTATGTTGCTATGAACTCTAATGGATAAGTATAGTTACAAATGCCATTTATGCATAGTAGCTAAGGAACTTTTAAATCATTGGAAGTGAAAGTATTAGCTGTATCTTAAAAATCAATTTTATGCCATTTTATAGAAATCAGTCCTTTATGTCAATACTTACATTTATTATTGTGCTGAAAACAGGTTTATTGGCTTGAATTGGTATTTTAAAATGAATTTAGGCTTCAAAATCCAGACCAGGATTTTCAAAGCAATTTTGAATGCTGGGCCTTGGCAAAATAGGAGAACAAAGAACAGTTACAAGTAGGTGTTGAACAAATCATGATCTTTGGTTGTTAATGTCATCATTACTCCTCGCTGTTAGAGATATTTTATCATGCATTTACTCAGAAAGATATTGTAAGGATCTGCCTCTCCTCTCCGTTCAAAAAAGTAAAGACTCTTGAAACTTCAGCATTTCAAAAGGAAACTTTTATTGAAAGAGAGCAATTGCAGGACAAAGGAAAGCAGGATCTAAAGTCCCCCTCAGGCAATACAGTTAGGATAAAATAGTTAGAAACCCCTCCCCTCAGTCTGAGGTTGAATGAGCCAATCCACAGGTGCAAAGTTGTTGTTAGAACATCTGGTCTGAGAAAGAGATAAGAAGTGATTCCCAGGCTCGGACTTCCTGTTGGTGCTTCGTGGCGAGAAGGTGGAAGGAGAGCGATCTCTGCTCTTCAACCCCGGATTTTTTTCATGCTTTGGGGACCCTTAGGGGCACAAGAGCCTGGAGGGCATTGCGAATTAGAGAGGGAATCTGGAGAGTGGCAAAGCGTGGGGCAAGTGCCTGCCGCTCAAACGGATGCCTCTGTTAACTCAGCGCGAAGACGTCTGTCATTTTGAAATGGCAGACTCGAGGCTGCGATAAACCAACAAAGAGCTGGGGGAGAGAAGAAGATCAGAGCAGATAGTGTTAGAAGTGGAGTTTTGCTGGAACATCGTAAAGACACAGGAGTTTGGAGAAGTGAGATCGGTCCTGTCAGAACAGAGGATTCCTGGAAGGAGACCGAGCAGCTATTGGGCGGAGGGAGAATGAATCAGCAGAATAATTTCAACTGACAGGATGACAGCAAAGAGAAACAACACTTTCGGTACAGCAGAGGCATGGAGGAACGGAGAGGAAAAGGTGATGGAATTCGTGAGTGAACAGTAAAGAGGAGGTTGTGTTGATGTGACAGAAGGAGATAAGGTTGGGACTGAAAAGAAAAGAAGCAGGAAGAGCTGCCATTGCAAAAGACGATTGACCAGTAGAACTGTGGGGGGAAAAAAGAACTATTAGGAGAAAGTTGGACTCATATTTGGAGGATTTTTTGGAATGGAGGACAAAGAGGTGACAGAAGGGCATCAAAAATAATTTTAAAAGGACATTAGAAACCTAAGAACTGTAGCTGGAGCAACATAAGGAAGGGAAGACGTGTAAAAAGGTCGTTGTAAAAAAAACCTCTAAGATAACTGCATGAAATAACCTCTGAATAGTATCTTGTAATATATTTATTAATATCTATTAAGATAAACCATTCTCTCTTTTGCTATTTTTCTAACCCCTTCTCTCTTTTTACACTGTTTGTTGAATGATTAATTAATTAAATTAAGTTTGTATACTGTTAATTATTAACTAAGTATAATCTATTAGATAATAACGTCTTGAGACTGTTATCTGGGATGAGTTTGATCCTGTGACCCCAGATGACGTGGACAGGATTCTGGGTAGATTGAACGCGACCACATGTTTGTTGGACCCGTGTCCCTCCTGGTTAGTGCTGGCTTCCCGGGAGGTGACGCGAGGCTGGCTCCAGGGGATTATAAATGCTTCGTTGGGTGAGGGTGTCTTTCCCGCCGCCCTGAAAGAGGCGGTGGTAAGGCCTCTCCTCAAGAAGCCATCCCTGGACCCGGCAATATTGGCTAATTATCGTCCAGTCTCCAACCTTTGCTTTGTTGCGAAGGTTGTTGAGAGTGTGGTTGCGCGACAGCTACCCCAGTACCTGGATGAAGCGGCGTATCTAGATCCGTTCCAGTCGGGCTTCAGGCCTGGGTACAGCACGGAAACGGCATTGGTCGCGTTGGTTGATGATCTCTGGAGGGCTCGGGACAGGGGTTGTTCCTCTGTCCTGGTCCTGTTAGACCTCTCAGCGGCTTTTGATACCATCGACCATGGTATCATGCTGCACCGGTTGGAGGGGTTGGGGGTGGGAGGCACCGTTTTACGGTGGTTCTCCTCCTTTCTCTCTGACCGGTCGCAGTCTGTGTTGACAGGGGGGCAGAGATCGACCCCGAGGCCCCTTATATGCGGGGTGCCGCAGGGATCGGTTCTCTCGCCCCTTCTGTTCAACATTTATGTAAAGCCGCTGGGCGAGATCATCCGTGGTTTTGGGGTGAAGTACCATCTGTACGCTGACGACACCCAGCTGTACATCTCCACCCCGAACCACCCCAACGATGCCCTTGAAGTGATGTCCCAGTGCCTGGAGGCCGTACGGATCTGGATGGGGAGAAACGGGCTCAGACTCAACCCATCCAAGACCGAGTGGCTGTGGTTTCCGACGTCCCGATATAGTCAGCTGACGCCATCGCTGGCTATTGGGGGCGAATCACTGGCCCCCACGGAAAGGGCTCGCAACTTGGGCGTCCTCCTGGATTCACGGCTGTCTTTAGAAGAACACCTGACGGCCGTGACCGGGAGGATTTTTCATCAGGTTCGCCTGATTCGCCAGTTGCGTCCCTTTCTAGATCGGGACTCGTTACGCACAGTCACTCATGCCCTCGTCACCTCTCGTCTGGACTATTGTAACGCTCTCTACATGGGGCTCCCCTTGAGGTGCACCCGGAGGCTCCAACTGGCGCAGAGTGCGGCCGCGCGGGTGGTTATGGGAGCAACATGGAGCTCCCATGTAGCACCTCTCCTGCGCGAGCTGCACTGGCTCCCGGTGGTCTTCCGGGTGCGCTTCAAGGTGCTGGTTACCACCTTTAAAGCGCTCCATGGCTTAGGACCTGGTTACTTACGGGACCGCCTACTACCATCAACAGCCTCCCACCGACCAGTACGCTCCCACAGAGAGGGGCTCCTCCAGGTGCCGTCGGCCAAACAATGTCGGCTGTCGGCCCCCAGGGGGAGAGCCTTCTCTGTGGGGGCCCCGACGATCTGGAATGAGCTCCCCCCAGAGATACGGAGGATTCCGGATCTGCGCACCTTCCGCCGCGAGTTGAAGACGCTTTTATTTCATCAAGCCGGCCTCGCCTAATTCTTCTCCCTTTAAACTGTAAATTTTAAATTTTTAAATGTATTTTAAAATTATGGGTTTTTAATTAATATTAATTCAGCCAAATTTATTTAATTCATTTTATTTGATCTTAAATTTTGTATATTTATGTGTTTTATTTCATGGCTGTGCACCGCCCTGAGTCCTTCGGGAGTAGGGCGGTATAGAAATTCAATAAAATAAATAAATAAATAAATAATTTATTAGAATTCTAACTGAATATTAATTGAAATATAGATCTTACTATTGATTTAATTTACTTTTTATATGTTTAGATTTAGACTTTATTGTATAGAAATTTAAAAGTACTTTTAAGATCACTGTAATTTATTTTGTGAATTCATATCTTTTTGAATATATAAAATATAAGAATAGAAAAGATAAAGGAAACATAAGGCATAAGCTAATAGATATAAGTTTTTACTGATTAAAATATTGGAAGATTTTTAGTGGGATAGTATAAACCAACATAAGTAAAGATAAGAAAAACAAGAATAAGACAAGTAGATAACAATAGTGGATGATAGTTTGGAAAAATATAGACAGGATTGTGAGAGATCAGAGAAGGATATTGAAAGAAATGACAAGCCTTTCTACAACAGCATTAAAAACCGGAAAGAAAACCACATCAAACCCAATGATCACCATGGCATCCCCCTCAACTCAACGGTCAACATAAGGACTGACGAAGACGGAAAAATCCATTGTAATCCCAAAGATGCAGGCCATGCAATCTACCTTAACTCTAATACAGGAGACGATGATGAAGATGCAGGAGAAAGTGTCCAGCAACCATAATGAATTGAAAACAGATATCCAGTCCTTGGACGGCAAAGTGAATGACATTCAAGATTCAATTCATAAAAATGAACAAAAAATAAAGGATGTAAAAACCAAAGTGGAACAAAATGAAAGGAAATTGGAACAGGTTGACCAAAAACTGATGGCTCAGAATAGAGAATTTGAAGACTCTATTATACAACTCGAAATGGACCGGGCGGTATTCTACCTAAGTCAGCGATGGCTAACCTTTTTGCCGTTGCATGCCAAAAGCAGGGGGAGAGTGGTGGGGGTTATGCACGCACATGCCCATACCCATAATTCAATTCCTCCCCGTGCCCCGCCCCCCCTGTGCATGTGCACGTTACCCGCTCCCCCCGCTTTTGGCACACAACAGCAAAAAGGTTACCAGTGGCCTCGGTAGGCCCGTTTTTCACCCTCCCCAGGCTCCAGAGGCTTTCTTGGAGCCTGGGAAGGGTGAAAATGGCCTTCCCCACTCCCCCGGAGGCCGGAAACAGCCCGTTTCCTGACTTCCAGTGGGCCCAGAAGGCCCGAAAACCAGCTGGCTGGCGCACACATGGATGCTGGAGTTGAGCTAGGGCAACGCTCATGTGACACCCGTGCCATAGGTTCGCCATCACGGACCTAAGATTTCAGAATGTAACTGAAGGGAAAGAGGAAGATCTGGGATAGGTAATAGCCGAAATGATTGCAGAGGCCCTACAGAGGGACAAGCAAGAAATAATTACGGAATTGGACGAGGTATACCGGGTTCAAACAAATTATGCTAGAAGGCATAAGCTCCCAAGAGAGGTCCATATTAGATTTTCAAGGAAAAAAGTCAGTAACATCTTGTATAATATAACCTGAGAAG